ACAGCATCATTAACGCCAAGAAATATCAATAACGTTCATTAACCTCCAGAATGTCATATCAGTTCACCACCTCATTAACAGTCTTAGTTCTGGCTAACATTCCCACTGCTCACAAAAAAAAGGAAAAGAAAAAAGGAGGGGCATTAAGTAGAAAGACGAGACACAACGTACTATAAAGTTCTGCCATGCACATACCGGTGACAGGTGGTGAAGTTGAAGTGATGGGAATTGGAACAGCCTGGACAGTGGCCAGCAGCTGCTCTTGGACTTTTGGAAGCTCACTGAAGTCGGACACGGTCAGAGCATAATTGGGTTGGTATGAATCTGCAATTCGTTGAAGTGATGGGAATTGGAACAGCCTGGACAGTGGCCAGCAGCTGCTCTTGGACTTTTGGAAGCTCACTGAAGTCGGACACGGTCAGAGCATAATTGGGGTCGTATGAAATTCTCTGCAATTCTCTGCTATCAGAGCCCCTCGATCCTATTCCAAAGCTCAAAACGCCAAGCTCTTTCAGAGAGGAGGCTGCTGCATCGACACTGTCAAATGACCTTCCCCCACTAAGCAGGATCAGTATCTGAGGCACCCCCTCCAGCCGCCTGCTGCCGGAGGAGGCAGTAAAGACATTGTCTCTGACGTACTGGAGACTTGCCCCCGTGTAGAGGGGTCTGCCTCCTTTGTGCCTCAGATCTCTGACACGTTCAAGAATGTCTTCCTTTTTTGTGTATGTGTTTAGATAGAAATGGACGTCTGTGTCTTTGTTGTACTGGACAACAGAAACACGAACTCTGTTCTCAGCTACGTCCAATCTCTCCACCATTCTTTGCACAAACTCTTTCATTGCTGGGAACCCATTCCTATTTCCATCTGATCCATCCATTAGGAAGACAACATCTCTTCTCTGTCTTTCTCTCTCAGCTATGTAACAAATATTGAAGAGTGAAATTAGGAAGGACAGTACATACTATTATCAATAGGAATGTTCCACTTTGAAATAAAAAATAATAATTTTAAATATGTAGTTGTTACTTAATAGAAATGCAAAGGTTTAACTTCTATGTTGAAAATATATCACATTAGTAGGGCTGCCTTTGACTAAAGATTTTTCTGATTGACTAATAGTCGTTCATTTTATGCAATTAGTTAACTAATCACATGTTTATATTAACAAACCATGTAATTCATAATAGTGAGCCTTTAATTGCCAATAGCATATCAGCGCTCAAGTGCACACATAAACAACACAGAAGTAATGAACAGCAAGAAGACTACCTTTACATCATTATTAATTGATAAACTAGTGTTTTCTTTGTTTTTGGCTGCAGTGTCGAAGCCGAAGACACTGACTTATCATCTCCATAGTGGACATGCATGTTTCATACAGATTACATAATCTGAAAATATTTGTTTTCCATTTGAATTGGTTCATTTAAAAGTAGACATTTTGCTATCTATAGATATATTTCTTTGACACGCTCAAATTCACAGAGACCTAGATATAAGAGAAAGCGGTAGATAAAGCGTACCCTGTTTGCTTTCATTATTTTACAAAAACACAACGTTTTGTTGTTATTTTGAGTGCACACAAATGAAAGTGGTCCTTTTACAGATTTGAAAGATGTATTACTCTTATCTGTATGACCAAAAATGATGGAGTATTAATTTAAATATTTGTAGCAATTTAAATGCAAATGATCGCACCGGTGTCCTGACATTTTATCCTACCCATCAGATTGTCCTACCAGGGTTTACTGCGCATGTGCACATCAATATTGCGTCCTTTTTCTCATGCTGAACAACAATAGTTAATGTATCTGCATTACTGTAAGGGTAGGTTTAGGGTTGGGGTAGGGGTAGACTTTAATAAAACACATTCTAATAGGTAGAAAAAATTATTTATTGTTGGTTTCTTGTAGCTGTATCCCTTCTAGATACAACCGCGAATATAACACATAATTACTGTATTTGCATTACTGTAAGGGTAGGTTTAGGGTTGTGGTAGGTGCAGATGTTAATAAACCATAATTTTACAGGTAGCATTTTTCGTTGTCGAATTGTACTACCCACTGTTTTAATGGGAGGTAGCAAAATCTGACAGGATAGCACAAATCGACAGAACACCGGCACCTCCAAGTTAGCTGTAATGCAGTAAGCGCGCTACTATTCAGCTTCCACACTCCGCACAAACACTTGAATAGCACACATTTTTCTAGGTTAACGTTGAAGAGAGTGGCCATGTAATGATGTTACTACTTACATGTTTCAGATGATAAGCCAGATTTGAGGTTGATGAATGAAACAAACGTTTGCATCGACGTAAACAAACGGCTAGACTGATCTGACTACGTGACTTCGCCACTTTCTGTAGATTTTTTTTACCTGCGACTAATAAAATGTTGATCAACTAAGTCTCTTCTCGTTGAGTAATGGTTAGTCGACTGTTAGGGGGCAGCCCTACATAATAGTAACATTTTTAACCTAATTATCATAATACATTTCTGAATATTAAGGAGGTATTTTAGTCACTACTGTGCAGAAGCATTATTACACTTACCTATGAATTCCTTTTTGTTGTAACTTGGAATGGCTTTCATTGCTTCTAATAGCTGTGTCTGGATTTTTGGTAATTCACTGAAGTCAGCCAATGAAAGCACTTTATTTTCAGAAGAAACTGTATGTAATTCATAAGAGTCTGAGTACTTTCCTCCTATTCCATATATTAACACCCCACTTTTTTTTAAAGCAGAGGCTGCTTCAGAAATGCTGTCCCTTGATTTTCCACTAGTCAGCAGAATTAATATTTGAGGGATGCCTTCTTTGTGCCTGCTTCCAGAGGCACTTATAAAGATATTTTCCTTTACATATAGAAGGGCAGAGCCTGTATTTAAGGGCCTTCCACCTTTATGGCTAAGCACTTTTACTGCATTCAATACATCTTCCTTTCTTAAGAATGAATTCAAATAAAAATTTGCTACAGGCACATTGCTGTATTGAATTATTGAGATTCTATCATTATTAATACCCGCATTGAGATGTGTGATAATATTGTACAGAAAATCACGTATTTCTGGAAATCCTCTTCTTGTACTGTCCGAACCATCCACAAGAAAAGCAATATCCCTTTTAAATCCTGTGCCTAGAATTGCAATAATTACAGGATTAGAGATGCACCTTTATAGTATTTTTCTAATTAGAATAAGTATGTTTAGTTTCATTTGTAATATACAATGGCAAGAGGAAAATACATAAAAATGTTAAAAAGAAATAAATGAATACAGAATTTTATTTCCAACAATAAAATATTTTGTAACTTTGTATTTAATTTAGCTTTCCATTAACAAAAAATAAAAATAAAAAATAAATTGAAATGATCAGCCTGTACTGAAAGTCTCAACATGTAATCTTAAAACTTCTATGAACATCTATAAATGTTTCTAAAGCTTTACAATGTATTCTTTTTTATTCTTACCATCAATTTCTCTGTCTCCTTTTTGCCTTTCACCCATAAGTTTTGTCATGAGGCTTTGGTGTAAATTTTTTAAATCATGAAAATCAGAAACCGCAATGGCATAATCTGTCTTCGAAGAAATGGCTTCCATTTCAATAGGATCTGTCAGCCTTGACCCAATGGCAAAAATGGCTACTCCCATACTCTTTAGTGCGTTAGCTGGTCCACGAGGAGAATCTCTTGATCTGCCACCAGCCACAAGCACAAGATTTTGGCTAACACGGCCTATTTGCTGACTTCTAACACTTGGGGTAAAAATACTGTCTCTAACAAACTGCAAAGCCTGGCCAATATATTGCGGCCTTCCCCCTTTTGGTTTGAGGTTGCGTACAGCATCTGCCACCTCAGAAGTGGATGAGTATGTACTGAGATTAAAGCTTATTGCTGCAGTATTACTGAACTGCACAACAGCAATTTGATCTTTTTCTTTACCAACATCAAATGTCTCTGCCAAACTGGCCACAAATTCTCGTATAGCTGTGAATCTATCACTAGCATCATCTGATCCATCAATAAGAAACACAATATTTCTTCCTGCATCCAAAGTCTGGCCTACAACAAATAAAACAAAGAATATTTCCATAAAGGAAAGACAACAGTATTTAAACAACAATTCTATAGAAACACAGTAGATACAGTGGCTAATTTGTCTGCATCTGCAAGTCTCTTCTTCATGTAACATAACAGCATGTTCAACAAAGACATCATTTATCAAAGTTCTTACCCCCAGGAGTTGGAAATTGCTCAGGAATTTCATCACCACTTGTCAAAACAGAGGCAACTCTTTGGACAATGCTGTTGATGGAGGTGAAGTCAGGAACAGAGAAAGCATACGCTGGTGTTGTAGACATTGTCTGTAACTCAAGTGTATCAGAATTACTTGTGCCAATTGTAATGACTTTTATGTTGTTTTCTCTTAAACTTTGTGAAATGGTTCTGACATCATCACCAGATCTACCACCGCTAAATAAGTACAGAATCTGAGGTACACCCTCATGACGTCTGCTTCCAGAGGATTGTGTAAAAATATTTTCTTTAATAAACAGTAGAGCAGCTCCAGTATTCAGTGGCCTTCCACTTTTGTGCCTCATAGATCGTATGGAATTAAGTACCTCTTTTTTGGTTGAGTATGAGCTGAGATAAAAATTAGCTGTGGGATCCCGACTGTACTGAACAACCGCCACCCTATCAAGATCTTCCTCCACATTTAGACTCTCAACTATCCTTACCTGTTGTAGTTTGTGGAAGCCTCCTGGGCTGACGAGGAACTCTTTTTACATATGATACAAGTTTCTGTTCAATGGTTTGAAGGTCATCAAACTGAGGAACAGTAAGGGTATGACCAGGAGTATATGAAATTGCCTGGAGTTGAATAACATCTGCATTTTGATTGCCAATACTGAATGTTACAATTTGATCCTTTTTCAGAGCAGCAGCTGGAGCTCTAACATCATCCTGAGACCTTCCTCCAGTCACAAGCACAAGCACCTGAGGAGCCCCCTCTAGGATTCTGCTCCCAGAAGAGGCAATGAATATGTTCTTTTTGGTATAGTCAAGGGCTCTTCCCGTGTTGAGGGGACTTCCTCCCTGGTGTTTCAGACTCTCAATTGAATTGAGAATGTCTTGATTTGTGGCATGTGTGTTGAGGTAAAAATGGACCTGTGGCTCTCTGCTGTATTGAACTACAGACACTCTGTCTCTGCTTGGCCCAATATTGAGTTTGTCCACCACTCTTTGAACAAACTGACACATTTGTTTAAATGTATCCCTGGTGTCATCAGACCCATCCAGAATAAAGACAATGTCTCTTTGAGCTGCATCCAATTCAACTGGGATGAAAATTAAATGGCTTTAGTAAAACGGACTCTTATAAAATTGTAAGACAAAACATCATTAACACACTAAATACATAAAGCACATTATTGTATGTAGTGATTTTTCATAGTATTAACAATAAAATTCAAATCTGAACGAACAATTTACAGACACATTTACAATCCATATACATTTTGCTATGTTTGTGTTTTTAAGAATATGCTGACAATATCTGACAAAAGAAAAAGGAAAAATGTATGACAGGATATCACTAGTGTATTTTCAAGCTCAACTGAATAAGTAAGATCAATCAAGCAACCAGAATAGAAAAAGGGAAGAACAAGGAGTTGAAATACCAGCAATGATTGAGAAATCATTGGCTCAAACAAGAGCTTTAACCTGAAGGGGAATCTCCACAAGTAGTAAGACTCTTCCATGGTTAAGAGAACCAGTGGAAAACCATGGAAGTTCTCTGATGGACAAAGCAAAAGATGAACAGAACAGGTAAATATTTAGTGGTCAAGGCCATTAATTGCCATTTCTTTAACATATGTTAAGAAAGCTGAATCAATCAATCAATAAATGGCCTCATAGTTAAAGCAAGCAGATTAGTGAAGAAAGCAGCTTTTGTGAAGTTTCATGTCCAAACTCTCAAATGCCCAAAGTCAAAAGAAACAGTTTGTATTTGAGGAAAATGCCAAGTGTTGCTATTCTTACCAATGATAGTAGGGGATTCTATTCCCATTTTGGATTTGATAAAGGAGAGGATATCAGGCTGTATATTTAAAAGTTCACCAAAGGCTGGAAGATTAAAAAGAAATCTAGGTGAAAATGCTATGCTTTGGAGCTCTGCCTCTACAGCATTCTTTATTCCAATGGCAATGGACAGAACTCCAATATTTTTGAGATCTTCAGCTGGACCTGCCACATCATCAATGGACCCTCCACCAGTCATAACAATCAACAGCTGAGGTACTCCTAGCTGATGTCTACTTCCAGAAGCAACAGTGAACACATTGTCCCTGACATACTGTAGTGCTCCCCCAGTATTTAGATTTCTTCCACCTTTTGCTGTAAGGCCATTAATGGAATAAATTACAGCTTTCTTACTACTATAAGTATTAAGTAGGAAATGAGTCAAAGCATCTTCGCTGTACTGTATTACAGCAACTCGAACAATGTCCTGGTCAATGTCAAGATCCTCTGCCATTCTCCGAATAAACTCACGGATGGCAAGAAGTCCATTTTTGGAGTCATCGGAGCCATCAAGGAGAAAAACTATATCCCGTTTGTTAATTCCTGTGTCAGGCAAGTTACCAAGAAAAGAAAAAGAGAAGGATATTGGAATACATCTGACTCATTCAATGTATAAATTGAATAGCAAAAGCTTTAAAAGTGTACAAGAGTGTTTCAAAATGCAAGTAAATCAAAGAATATCAGTGACATCGAACCCTCAAAATTAGTTTTGTGGGTCAGGATGTGAATAGCGTTGAATAAGAAAAGGTCTTGCAAGTGAAATATAGTTCAAAAACACTCCCATGAAACGAACATCTTTATGTGCAAAAGATGTCAACTAAAGACATGGAAGATATGAGAAAATGTTTAAAAAGAAAGGAATTTTCAGTTCCACCCTAGAATTAAGAATATCAACCTATAAATGGCAATTTATAATACATTTAAGGCATTTAGCAGATGCTTTTACCCATAACTTGTTTTTGGAATTTCTCCTGATTCTTTTGGGATATGCTTTAGTGTTAAATGGGTCATATGATGCGATTTCATTTTTTCCTTTCTCTTTGGAGTGTTACAAGCTCTTGGTGCATAAAGAAGATCTGTAAATTTGCAAAGACTAAAGTCTCAAATCCAAAGAGATATTCTTTATAAAAGTTAAGAGTCAGCCACACCCCCCTAAAACGGCTCGTTCGAACACGCCCCCACATATCTACCTCACTATGTGGGAAGATTTGCATAACGCCGCCCAAATGTTCACGCAAAGAAAGAAGGCGTAACTTTTATTCTCGCTGTAGTATTGTTGCCGCTGCCGCCATGTCCTGAAGACGCTGTGTGCTTCGTTGTGAAAGCGAAACTACTTTGTTTGTTCTTCCAAAAGAGGACGATATCCGCTTCGTCATGCCTAGAGCTGATCTGTGCTGGTCGCTGAGGAAATACATCAACTTAGTGCTGTGGATCGCCGGCACATTTTATGGAGGACTGTTTACTGATCCTGGGAGAGTAACGTTAGACTAAAATGCCGGCAGTTCTGACTCACGTAAGTACGTTTTCATTTAAAGGATTTGCCACTGATGATTCAAACGCGAGTTTTGGGCAGTGTAGAATAGCACTTGTTGTTTGTCATTTCTCTGATCACAAATACAGACAGGGTTTTATGTTTACGCGGCACGATGCAACGCAACGCGTAAAAAGACAGTATAAGTCATTATAATCAGTAATTATGTCCCCACTGGATGCAACAAATGCCTCGTTTGTAATGGGTTTTCATGTTTTTGTGTCGTTGCTCCGGCCGGGACACGGCATCAACACAGTATGGTGAGGGGCGTAACATTTCCGTCTCACGCTTGAGGTATTCGGCCAATCACAACGCACTGGATAGCTGGCCAATCAGAGCACACCTCGCTTTTTCAGACCGATGAGCTTTGTAAAAATCGACGCGTTTCAGAAGGCGGGGCATAGAGGAGAAACAATAATGTACAGTATGTGGAAAATAATGTGTTTTTTTTACTTTAAACCGCATAAACACATTTCATTACACCAAATACACAAAATAATGTTCTTTTTAGCAGCATCATATGACCCCTTTAAAACTATTTGTGGCGCTATTAAAGGAAGGCCATTAAATCAATCAATATAATGTGTGAATGGCGACTGAAATTATAGTTTTCAGCTCATTTGAATCTGCATTTTTCACACCAATGTTCACAGTCACAATTTCAAGATCTTTCAGGGCCATGGCAGGCCCTATTATTTCATCACTAGATGGTCTGCTACTCAACAATATTAGTATTTCAGGAATTCCATAAAGTCATCTACTCCCAGATAAAGAATTGAAAACCTGGTGCCTCACAAACTGGAGGCCTGCACCAGTGTTAGCTGCTTGTCCACCTTTGTGTTTCAGGACCTTTATTGCATTTAGAACCTCCACCTTTGTTGAGTAAGTTTTAAGATAGAAGTCAACCAATGGATTGTCACTGTACTGAACCACAGATATTCTGTATTTGCTCTCCTCCACATTAAGTTTCTCAACAAGTCTTTGAACAAAATCACACACTGCACCAAATCCACTTTTAATACTGTCAGAATCATCCAAGAGGAACACAATGTCTTTTGTTACATCTTCGGCATCAACTAAGACATAGTACACCAATGAGAAATATTTTGAAACACAGAATAGCAGGCCAGTGTACCCAAAAATAAACGACTAACACACGCTGCTGCTTTTGCAAGCATACAGAAGACCACAGAAACACAAAAAGCAAAAATTGTCTTACCTTCCTCTAGAAAGACCTTCAGTTCTTGATCTGGAAGGTTCACATAGTTCTTGAGCCTTTCCTGAACAGTGCTGAGCTGGCTGAATTCCTTCACATTGAAAGCAAATGATGGATTGTGAGAGATGGCCTCAATCTGTTTAGGGTCTGCATTTTTCACTCCAACACCAAAAGGAACAACTCCCTCAGTCTTTAGGGCAACTGCAGGTTCTCTGACACTGTCTCTTGATCTCCCCCCAGTCAAAACTATCATAAATTGGGGAACATTTTGACCGGCTCGACCACCATTTGCTGGTGACAAGATAGTGTTTTTCATGAATGTCAAGGCAACTCCAGTATTTAAACTTCTGCCACCTGCCAGAGTGAGTCCAGTTACAGCTCTCAGCACCTCATCTTTGGTTCGGTAAGTGTTCAGGTAGAAGTTAGGAGTTGGTCTCTCACTATGCTGGACCACAGAAACTCGTACTTTATCAAAGCCTATATCCAGAGGCTCAATGACTTTGGAAATGAAGTCACGGATATAGGGAAAGTCACTTCTCACATCATCAGAGCCATCAATCAAGAATGCAACATCCCTTTCTCCACCAGAGGGACTTGGTGTTACAAATTCTGTGAAAGATTAAAAAAAAAGAGAATATGAAATAAATACAATAAAATGCTTAAATATCTACAGTACAACATAAAAGTTAGATTGTACATTTCTGAATACAAAAGAAAATAAATGTAGGTGATTAAAAAAAATAAAGTGGTGCAAAAAGTATTTTTGGTGTTTCAAATTCTGTGAAAGATTTTTAAAGAGAGAAAATATGAAATAAATACAATAAAATGCTTAAATATCTACAGTACAACATAAAAGTTAG